ACTAAAGAATATACAAACAAAAAATCTAGAAATTATGTATATGAGGAATGAAAATTATGTACACATGGTCAAAGGTGAGATTAAGAGTTTTCAGGGTACACCTTTAGATAAAATGTATATTTTGAAACATGTTAATATATAACCAATGTAAATAAGGTATTCCATATAAATATCCAAAATAACAGAATGCACATATTCATTGGAGATATCTGAGTTTATAACATCTGAACAGACACACATGTGTACACATAACCTTAACATGTAATTTTTAATAAAATGTATTATTTTACCTTAAGGAGTAATGAAGAAGAGTGACAGAGGTTTATTCAAGGAAATGGTAGATCTTTATAATTATTAATATATAACCAATGTAAAATGGGTATTCCATATAAATATCCAAAATAACAGAATGCACATATTCATTGGAGATATCTGAGTTTATAACATCTGAACAGACGAACAATATTTTCACCAGGAATGTCTGAAACCATTTATGAGGCCTGTAATTCTTGGGTCCTGTCCATTAGGGTCATATTGAGGACATAAAAGACTGTTTCAAAAATATCTTTTATGAATTCATTGAAAATGATGATCATCACTGTATGGACAAAACAAGATATATCCTCAGGATGGATACTGCTCATGAGCCACCAGCTTGCTACTTTCAAGTTAAGGAGGACAGGGGCAAGCTGGCTCCTATGGCAGGAAACATTTCTCATGGTAGGAAATAACTGATGAATTTTTAGGATAGTGTCATAAATTGTATTTTTCTAAAGATGGCCACAATAGCATCTCTTATTCTACATGTTCTTCTAGAATTGCACAAATCTACGTATACTGCCATGTGCACATGTGGCCAATTTCAATTTAAATTATGTAAAATTTAATATTCAGTTCCTCGGTTTCATTAACCACATTTCAAGTGGCTTGTGGCTACGATACAGAACAGTGCAAATATAGAACATTTCTATCAGCATAGAAAGTTCTATTGGACAACAGCTACTTCCCCATTAAGAGGTGGAGTCTAATTGCCCTCCAAGTGAAACTGGGAGGGTTTATGACTCACCTGTAATCAAGAGAATGTGGTGGAAGTGATGCTGTATGATATTCAAGCTAGGTTACAAAAGGTAAGCTAGGTCAGAAAAGACAATGCAACTTCCACCTGAGCCTGCTAGAACTCTCACACTGGAGCATTCAGCCTCCATGTAAGCAGTCCTAACATCCTGAGGCTGCTGTACTGTGAAGAAGCCCAAACAGCCTGCATGGAAATACTACATGGAGAAGCTGAGAGAGGGGAGAAAAGAGAGAGAGAGAGAGAGAGAAAGAGAGAGAGAAAGAGAAAGAGAGAGAGAGAGAGAGATCAATCCTAACATTCCCCAGATGCTCCAGACTTGTACTGTTCCAGCTTAACTACTTGTCTGATGGCAATCACAGGTGACCCTGGGCCTGAACTATTCAACTGAGCCCTTCCTGAATTTCTGACCGATAAAAACCACTACAGAATAAAATAACTGTTGTTGTTTTAAATCATTTAGTTTTGAGGTCTTTCGTAATGTGGCAAAAGATTACCAAAATAGAAAATAATATAACCAATTTTAAGCTGTGGCCTATAATATACTCAGTTGTAATACCCTATTGTTAGCCCAAAATTTCAGTAAAATCTATGCATATAAAAGGATAATGGTTATTAGACTAAGCTTTAAGGTGGGAAAATGTTCATAAATATAATAAAAAGAGTATACAAAATTGTATATAAACTATGATTATGTAAAAATCCCACAACGTCTGAAAAAAGTCAAAGGAAATACATCCAAATGCTAGGGGTGCTTGTGTTAATTACTGAGATCCAAGAGATATTTCTCAATTTCATGGTCTGAACTGTGTTTAATGTGGAAGGTGCTGTACAAACTTTGTATTTTTAGCACTTTTTTCCTAAAGACTGATAACTCTCAATTTAAAATTAGTATCTCATTTTAAAATCAAATTTCTAGAAGAACCAGATTTTACCTGCTTATCTCACAAGCCACTCGTCCTTTCATCTCTATGACATCAGAAGAAGTAGCAAACCCCAACCTTCTTAAAACACGTTTGCGACATTTGAGTTCATCCATTTGCAGGACTGTTCTTGCTTTCTTCAGTTCTCGCTTTGCAGATTTAATATCTATTGCAATCTAAGAAACATAAAGTATAAAGAAAGTTCAATAATAAAACGAACAATGTAAAATGAGATTTATTCATGAAATAAAGCAAAAAATATTTTCTAAGGACGCCTTACAACATACTTCTCAGTTAAAGCTTCAATGCTGAGGGGATAGGGAGAGTGAAATACAGGAGCTTCTTAGATACATTCCCAGGATATTACAAAAGAGTAATGATATATCTGAAAAGTTATTAAATACTATCTAAAATTTTAAGTACATGGAAAATATAAAGTGTCCACTTGAAAAATCTGAGGCAGAGTAGGGAGATATTAGAACTTGTAAAAGGTTTAGGAAGATGGAGAATAGGGCATGGTTTCTGCTTAAATGAAGGTAAGGAGGGAGGGCTACAAGAAGGGGAGAGAGCTGGATAACCATGAGTTAGACAAGGTAGACTGGAGGGGATAGAAAAAGTCAGTGCTCAATTAGGATGGGCTCTCCCAAGGCAGAATTCATTGGACAATTAATCATACTCCTAAAGTACCAATCCCAGCAATTCCAGCTTTTCATCCGTAAGGAATTAGGCCATAGCTTAGAGAACAGGGAAAGAAAGCTGAGGGCATATGAATCTTTTCTCTTGACTATATTTCCTGCATGATGCCCTGAAAAGTCTTCCCTCTCTTTGCCTAAGTTGGAAATAGCTTTAGCAAAGAGAATAGGCCTTTATTCAATATAGAGATGAAAAATTAAAATGAAAATACATCTTGAGTTCATCCTTGAGTGGATGAGTTTTTAAATTCAGTTAATTAGTAAGTAGTACATATTTTCCAACTGTGACATACGTATGGTAGTATAAGAGCACAAAAATAATGGTATCTTCAAGTGGAGGCTTTAAGTTTAGAAAATCACTGACAGAAAAGTTTTGAGGAGCTGAAACCCAAAGAATCTGTAATTTTGCTATTAAGCTTCAACTGAGGAGGAGAAATGATAAAGGTGATCAGCAACTGATATTTACTCACAAGTTACCTATGTACCCTATTTCTGATGGTTTACGTTATTTAATTAGAATAAGCAATCCTAACAGGTAGGGAACTAATATTAAATCTGCATTCTACAGATGAGAAAACTGAGGCACAGAGAGATTACTAAGTAAGCCATTCAATATTACAGAGCTACTGAGTGATAAAGATGGGGTTCCAATCCAGGCTAACAAACTCTAGAATCCAAGCTCTTAGTGAATTTTTACGTTGTCATAATGCCATGTCACAGGAAGCAATGTTTTCCATGCTAGACAAAACTATGCTATCCTAGCATGACTTACCAGGCCTATCAGAAAAAAAAAGCCAAAGAATTTCTTTTCTTTTAAAGAGAAAGTGTTGGCCGGGCGTGATGGTTCACACAAGTAATCCTAGCACTTTGGGAGGCTGATGCGGGAGAACTGCTTGAGGTCAGGAGTTTGAGACCAGACTAAGCAAGAGCAAGCCCCCATCTCTACAAAAAACAGAAAATTGGCTAGGCATGGTGGTGTGTGCCTGTAGTCCCAGCTACTTGGGATGCTGAGGTGGGAGGACTGCTTGAGCCCAGGAGTTGGAGGTTGCAGTGAGCGATGATGACGCCACTGCACTTCAGCCTGGGAGACAGAGTGAGACCCTGTCTCTCTCTTTTTTTTTTTTTGAGACGGGATTTTGTTCTGTTGCCCAGCCTGGAGTGCAATGGCACAATCACGAACTCCTGGGCTCAAGTGATCCTCCCGAGTAGGTGGGGCTACAGGTGTGTGTCACCATGCCAGATAATTTTTAAATTTTCTGTAGAGATAGGGTCTCACTATGTGGCCCAGGCTGGTCTTGAACTCCTGGCTTCAAGTGATCCTCCTGCCTTGGCCTCCCAAAGTTCTGGGATTACAGGCATAAGCCACCATGCCCTCTCTGTTTTCTGGGTTTTCTTTGACTGAGGATGCCTACATGAGCAGAGCAGAACACTGTGTTAAGCACTGTGAGATTTATAAAGCTTGCAAGGTAGTATAAGAGAATCCAATATTTAAGATTTTTTTCACAATTTTTATATTTTGAATACAAAAATGTTGAAATGATATTTTGGATATACTGGGTTAAATAAAAATATTAAAATTATTTCTACTTGTTTCCTTTTTTTTTTTTTCCCCCCGTACACTACATTTATTGAATACTGACTGGGCACATCATATACAAAAAAGTAGGATGGGGATAGGTAAGAATTTGAAGAAATTAAATATACACATTAATTTATCACTAATAATAACTACTAGAGAAGTACAAAATTTGTACATTATGCTTTATAATGAAATTTTGATGCCTGTCAAAAGGATAATAGGCTACACACATACTGCGATAAAAATATTTTTAAATTGTGCTTAACGTCAGAATTTCCCTCAAATGGGTTGGTAAAATGCCTACACAGCATCTACTCTTCCACACATACATTTTCCATTAAAGATTGCTTGAACAGTACAAATACTTTGACCCCATCGCTGAGAAATTCACTGTCGACCACTGTATGTGCAGTTCCTCTAAGAAACATCACAACATTCGCATTAAAGCCCATTTCTCCATTAAAATCCACCTTATTTTCAGTCTGGCTTATCACTAAGTTCTCTTCAGAACTGTTTATGTATCTTTTGTCTGATCATCTTCTTCAAGTTTCCTGATTTCATTTTTTAAACAATTTATAGTTTCACGACTTGCTTTTAATCTCTCCTTAAGCTCTGCAATTTCGAAGCTTGTTTTTTTCTTGGCAGCTTCTAATTTTTCTCTGGTTTTCACTTCAAGTTCTGAAAATTCTGTTTCATGCTTATAGACTCCTAATGTTAGCCAACGAGATGTTGTTAATAACTGCTGCATCATTGCTGTTGGGTCTTCAAATATCATTTCATCACAGAATTCTGAAACTACTGTCTTTTTCCCCAGCATTGCATTGGTGTCTGATTGAAACAGCTTTAGTAAATGATACAGGGTTACAGGTCTTTCATTAGGGTCAATGAAAAATATTTTGATGATTATTTCAAATTCACCCCATCCCGTTTCAGTAATTTCATATGGAGGTTTAGTAACAACTCTTAAAGGATTGCCATGGCTTTCATGTAATTTAAACTGGATTTTTTTCACATATGCTGACATATCCTCATTTCTATATGGTTTTACATATACTGTCCACTGATGGGTGTGCCCGTCTTCTCTTTTCTTTCCAAAATATCGAGCAACATTACCATAAACTATTGGTTTAACGATAGTAACCCCCTTCACTCTCCCGTCGGAGTCAGGCCCAAATTCGGCCATTCTCTTGAACATACTGTCCCACGGAAGAAGCCGCCACTGCCGCCAGGGAAAGATACCGGGCTGGCGCGGTCGCCGCTGCCCTCAGAGGCCCAGCTCCTCCCGCACGAACCCGGGCGGAGGGTTTCTGGTGCAACGAGGGCGAGTCACCGGGGCTCGCGGCGTTCCGGAAGACCATTCCTTGTTTCCTTTTTAATGTGGCTACTAAAAAATTTAAAATTACCTATGTGGCTCGCATTGGACAATATTGTTCGAGATCTTGTTCTCCATGTTTACAGTTGGCCTTCTGTAACCATGGGTTCTACATCCGTGATTCAACCAACCATGGATCAAAAATACTGGGGAAGATCATATTGCACCAGTATTAAACATGCAGAGACTTTCTTTTCTTGTCCTTATTCCCTGAATAATACAGTATAATAACTATTTAAACAGCATTTACATTGTATTAGGTATTATAAATAAACTAGAAATGATTTAAAGTATACAGGAGGATGTGCATAGTTTATATACAAATAGTACACCATTTCAGGTCAGGGACTTGAGCACCTGAGGATTCTGGTATCCACAGGAGGCCCTGGAACCAATCTCTAACAGATACTAAGGTACAACTGTACGTGCCTGAAATGCACGGATACCTAGGTATAGGGGCTTTTATCCAAAAAGTGAGATCGGCTTCCTTTTCCACTTAATACATTTGGACTTCTTTTCCAAAGAGTACATATGAATCTACCTCATTTTTTTTAATGGCCATGTTAATTTCCAATGTGTGGATAGGAATATTTCATATATCTAATTCCCTATTGATGAACACTGAGGTTGCTTATATTCATTTGCCTTTTCAAACTATGCTACAAGAACATCCTCTGTACTGCCTCGCTTTGTAGTCTCAATTCCTAGAGGTAGGAAAGTTGAGTCAGAGGGTATAAGCAGTTAAAATGTTGACAATTGAGGGACCAGATTCTGAAGCCTTCTTAGGCAGGGCTAAGGGATGTGAAATGTGTCCTGCAGTCACTAGGAAGCCATAAAAAGACTTGCTTTTCCCTAATTGCTAACTCTTTGTATTTTTTTCATCAAAAAAAAAAAAAGCACATTATAGACAACGGGGGTGGGGGGTAGAGAAAGGGAGGAAAAAAAATGAAAAAGGTCTACTATAATCTCACTGCCCTAACACAACCACTTAAAGTTTTCCTTTTAGTCTTTTACAGTGTGTATTTTTATTTTTGCCAAGTTGTAATCACGGGCCATATCAATTTCAGATCCTGCTTTGTTCATCTAATGCTTGTGCATAAGCATTCTTCCATGTTATTGCAGAGTCTTCATAACAAGTTTATTTGTCCCCTTCACCTAGACACTAATGCCTTTTTCAGTGTATCTAAGCAGCTCAATAATGGCTTCAACCATTTCCATGGATGCTTTCCAGCCATCATTCCACCACGCTCAAGTCTCCCTGTTCTTGTGCTGTGGACACATTAAGGCTGACCCTCTGGTGGCCATGTGGGGAGTGGTTGGAATCAGGTAGGAAGCAGCTGCAATGGTTCTGGTAAGGTATGAACAGGCCATGATCACAACTAGATACTTGCGGAAATAAGTAAAGCTTTTGTGTCTCAGTTTGCTCATCTTGAGAAGCACCTGGCAAGTTTCCTGGAGAGGGCCTAGTAGTACTTCTTGGTGGACTGGAGCATAGCATAATGTGTGTTCACTAAGCATGCAGCCACTCTGGTCCATAGGGTACAGGGCCACGTGATGTTAGCTTACAAAAAGCTATTAACAGAAAGGAAGAGTGCTTTATAACTATGAACTAAACATACTACTCTTATTAAACCAAAAGAATTTCTACTATTTATTTATCCAACCAATACTGGGCATTTACTTTATAAAGATGACCATTATGAGAGAGTATAAATAAGTTGAAACGAAACACGTGACCCAAAGGAGCTTAAAATATAGTTTGTGAGACAGAGAAACAGATGTATTGGGTAAAGGTGGTATGTGATAAAAGTTGAAAAAGTATAATCGCAAGGAGTTACAAGTTTCATGAAAGAAGTGAGATTTGTAGAGGATAAAAGATTCTAGTCGAAAAGAAGTGGATAGTGGGAAGGAATGTGTTCACTTCAAAAAGCTTTTTCTAAATTCATTATAGATGATGGTTATAAAAATGTTTTACTCATGAGAGATTATAGCTAATTACCCTAAAAAGCTGAACTACTACCACTTGCCACTACTAGAATGGCTATAATAAAAAACACAGACAATAAGACGTGTTGGTGAGGATGTGGAGAAACTGGAACTCTCACAAACTGCTCATCAGAATGTAAAGTGGGGCTGGGTGCGGTGGCTCACGCCTGTAATCCTAGCACTCTGGGAGGCCGAGGCGGGAGGATCGCTTGAGCTCAGGAGTTCCAGACCAGCTCTGAGCAAGAGCAAGACCCCGTCTCTACTAAAAATAGAAAAAATTAGCAAGTCAACTAAAAATAGAAATAAAAAATTAGCCGGGTGTGGTGGCTCGCGCCTGTAGTCCCAGCTACTCAGGAGGCTGAGGCAGGAGGATCGCTTGAGCCCAGGAGTTTGAGGTTGTTGTGAGCTAGGCTGACGCCACGGCACTCACTCTAGCCCGGGCAACAAAAGCGAGACTCTGTCTCAAAAAAACAAAAAACAAAAAACAAAAAAAAGAATGTAAAGTGGTGTAGCTACCACAGAAAACACTTTGGCAGTTTCTCACAAATTTAGTTACCATATGACCCAACAATCCCCACCCAATTCTACTCATGAGAAATGAAAACATGTCCACACAAAAACTTGTACAGAAACATTCATAGCAGGATTATTCGTAATAGCCAAAAAGTGGGGAAAAAACAAATATCCATCAACTAATGAATGAGTAAACAAAATATTGTATACCCATACAATGGAACATTATTCTGTCATAAAAGAAGTACTGATTCATGCTACAACATGGATGAACCTTGAAGACATTACACTAAGTGAAAGAAGGCAGACACAAATGTCACATATTATATGATTCTATTGATAAGAAATGTCCAGAACAAGCAAATCTATACAGACACAAAATAGATTTGTGGTTGCCTAGGGCTGAAGGATGGGGGAACAGACAGTGATTGCTAATAAAGTTTCTTTTGGGGGTGATAAAAATGTTCTGAAATTAGATAGCAATGATGGTTACAAATATCTGTGTATGTACTATTAATAAAAACCACTGAGTTGGACACTTTAAAAGGGTGGGTGTTATGTGAATTATATCTCAATTTTTAAAAAGCAAAAAATTTTTAAAAACCATACATCAAATACCAAGCTACAGCAAATGAACTTCATCTTGTCTTGCTGGTAAGAATTGACAGGTTACAGAGCTGATAGTTTTAAAAGACAGACCTTTTCCTGTTTTAGCTGATAAAATCAATAATAGTACAAGAAAATGAAAAATACTGATTCATTTATACACAGAATTCTACTAAAAAAAAAAAAAAAGTTCCTGCCATACCTGTGCCTTTTTTTCACAAAGTGTATACACAGTTTCCAAATTTGGGTCATTGTGAAGTGGATGAGAATACATTCGATGCTCAAAAGCCTCTACTTTCTGAATGACTTTTTTCAGTCCTTGATCTTGAATGCCCATATCATCAATAGGATCTAATAAGGGAACACCATCAGGAAAACGTTTCTGAACTTCCTAAAACAAAACACGTAAAATTTATTTTTCATCTTATAGAGACAAAATTAGTAAGAGTAAACTAAATCAGTATTTCCTTTTTTCCTATGCACATGGACATAAAAAAAAAGGATGGTCCACATATAATTTTTTCTTTTTCTGATTTAAATTGTAGGGCATTTTCCTAGTGCATTTGTTTTTGAAAATTCCTTTTTAATGCTGTACTATAATTAACTGATACAGGGATGTATTATAATTTACTAATAAGTCTAGTATTACATAGTTCAACAGTCCTGGAGGTGGCATAACTTACTAATAAACCCATTATCGTATATGTAGGTTGCTATAACTTCTTGCCATCATAAGTAATCCTGTATTGATCATCTGTTACGTGTAAACTGTTTTCAATTTTCAGATTATTTCCTTGGGGTTGATTCCTAGGGAGAGCACTACTGAGTTGGAAGGTTTAAACTTTTTAAAAGGTCCTGATTCCTTTTGCTAACTTTTTCAGGTACATAATTAATGGTTAAGTATAATAAGTGTAAGAGTACAGAGAAGGGATAGCTCATTATAAGCTGGTATCCCACTAGGAAACTTTCGGGATCCTGGATAGGCCTTAAAGGTAAGATAGGATTTGGCTGGTTAGGAATTAGGGTATGGGAGTGGGAGTACATTAATCGAAAACATAAATGTAAAGGGATCAAAGTCATTTTGAACATTACCATCCTAAATATGTAAATAATGCAAGGTTTTAAGAGACTAATATCTTTGTTAAGCACATATAGTACAACCTGGCCAATTTTTACATATAAAGAAACTAAGTCACAGGTAAAAAGTTCAAGAATAGAGAAAACACTAAAATTGTAGTTCTAAAGTTTAAAAAGGTATAATTAAGCAGCAAAAGGGAACTCTTCAGTCATTAAGTGAAGGGTTCTGTTAGCAGGCTTATTTTCCTGATTCTTCTTCCTCTGGTTTCCCAATATGTGGTGACCAACGTAAAGGCCTATGAAGGACCAAGGAAAACAACAGTCTAACCTTATTTAAATAATGAGGCAAAATTGAGAGTTAGGTTATTGCTAAAGTTAATGTCAACGCTGAAATATCTCATCACCAGACATAGCACAGTGATGTTTAAGGCAAATAAAGACAAGCCTGAAATTTGCCAACAGACCTCAAGAAAATTTCATTTCAATTTAAGTTCAAATTTAGCAAAATGAAAACTGACCAAATTGAGAAGCACGAAGTAATCAGTTTTTTTCATAATAATGGCATTATTTATGCTAATTTAATGACTAACGTGTATTTCTCCTCAAAACTATGCCTCTATTTTGAAAATATTAGAAAAAAATTTCAGTGGGACTTTATATATACTTCAATGAACTTAAAATATTTATTTACCACCAGACCATTAATTTTTAAAATTTCTATAGTGATTCTTTGAAATGATATCCACATCTACATAAAAATTTTGTAAAACTGTCAAGAGAATCATTCATTTCAGCAAGCCTGCCTAAGCTTAAAAATTCCTACTCTATACTGAAAGCATACTGTTTATCTTTGTTTTCTCAGATTCTAGTATACAGCCTTCACTGCACAGTAAATGCTATTCAAAGGTTTATTGACTAAATAAGTCACTTCTTTTTTCTACTGGACAATTAAATTTTCTAGAAAGTAGTAATTTTTCCTATTGAAAAAAATGATTTCATCCATTTATTAACTATATTCAAAAATGGTTAAAAGTCTTGGCAGCATATTGTTTTATACATAAATCTTTTAATAAAATCCATAGTTATTTTCACTTATAATGAATAAAGCAGAACATATTTAGCATATAATAGTGAAGATTAATGGTGCAGTTTTCCTTTGTGAGTACTCCTTTAGTAACTTACTTTGTTGGTGGATTCAAAGAGAGGACAAATATACATGCAGATCTGCTGCCACTATTTTTATGAGAAATAATTGCCATTATTGGTAGTATTTATATTTTTTCTGAAAGAAAGCAACATACTTAAAACATTTGTTACCTCTTTATAAATCTTATTTACAATATGTAAACTTTATATTTAATTTATAAAATTAACACATACCTGAATTGATTTTAAAACACTCTGTCTATTGTCCACTGGCCGAAGGTCTTTAGGAATATAAAGTCTAACACTGCTGATAGCAGACAGGAGATGCACCAGAACTGGGACAACCTATGAATGAAAAGTTATATAATATTACAATTTAAATTGCACATATTCATATTCTGCTATTTCTTAAACTTGGATCTTTAAAAGGAAGGTGCATTTACAATATGCGACAGGTGTAAGAAGTAGATAATAATCACTGTGGAGGTAGCTCCCTACACTAAAGCTTGTATCTTAGTAGAGACTATATTTAAAAAGTAAAAACTAATTCAAACATCTAAATAACAGGAAAATAAATGATACATAAAAATAAGAGATCTCTTCAATACAGAATCCATTCTTTATTCATTTTTGTGCTCTCAGTTCTGGTACTTTTTGAATACATAAAAGTACTACTGTACTACAAAAGAACAAAAGACTCCTGTTGAACAGATTTAGATGGCCAAGTAAGGTTCATGTAACTTCTGGATGGGTCAGAATGAAAAGTAGATGAAAAAAATTATTTTAAGCAGAGAAAACAGGACATTCCATTAGATACAATCTTCAAGAACACCTATCTACAAACTTACTTCCATGCTTTCTCCTATCAATACCCTGCGTTCACTATCAAATTTTGCTCCCTTTAAGCTGCTCTTGAATCCAGAGGGCCTCTATAAACTAGGACAAGGTTAATATTTTCACAGGTCCAAATCAGTCAGTATGTTGGTCTCTTATGGCTACTTTTACACTTATCACCAATGAAAACACAATTATCATTGGCTTGCTGATAAATATATTCACAGTACTTTACTGAACAAAAAAATGGCACAGTGGTTGGACATGGGTTCCAGCGTTAAGACTGCCTGGGTTTGAAGTCAGCCTTCAGCTAGTTGTGTGACCTTGAACAAATTAACCTTTCTAGACTTCGGTTTTCCTCATTCATAAAAATGGGGATAAAATTGTATCTATTTCATGAAACTATTTTGAGAAATAAGACAATGTATGTAAAATACTTAAATTAGTACCTCAAACACCTCTTAAAAGTTATTTAGTGTAACGAATGTCCAACACATGTTAACGAATCTGTACATAACAGTGTTAAAACAGCAGAGGTCATATACTAAAATACCAAAGAGAAAAGGTAGACAATATTTTTTAGTGGTAAGAAGTGACAGAGACTGAAAAACTATAGAGTGCTTGTGTGATTTAAAGAAGACAACTACAATTGTGCCAGGCAGGAATGCAGTACTAGTGTTTCAAGATCTTTCTTTTTTTTAAAGCCAGAAATCCAAATTATTTCAAAGTCCTGATTTTTAAAATTTGACAAGTAATTTACATTTTCACTATTTTCCAGCCATTAAAAAATTAGTATTTTTCCTGTATAGCAACATTATTAGCCAACGTTCTATTTGAAAACAACTGAATAATACCATGAACTGTTCATTGTACTTTCTCAACAAATTTCTCTACTAGGTTTTTCGAACTGTTAATAGTCTGCCAAATGGCATAAAAACTAAAAATAATTCACTTAGCTTTGGAAAGTAAGAATATTATGTATTTGTAATTGAATTCAATATGCACAGGTATGTATCTAAGAATTGTCTCCAAAACAGAATAAAACTATTCTGTGAAAACTTGATTTAGTCTGAAGACAGAAATTGTCTTATTTGTAAGGCTGGTTCCTATAATAAACTCCATCCAAGAAATGGTCAACTAACACATTAATGGTAGAAAAGAAAACTACAAAGGCCCTCCTATAAATGTCTCCTTAAGTACAGGAAAGGGAGATCCTAAGATGTCCCTAATTAGAAACATGAATTTTTTTAAAGGAGAAGTTAAATGTTTAAAACCCAAATAATAGAAGGCAGGTTAAAAAAAAAAAAAAAGGGAAAAAACCAAATAAATAGTTGTGTGGGGATGAGGGGAAATTTCCCCACTGCCCAGGAAGGTTCACTAAAAGATCAACTCACAAAAGGCAGATTAATAAGAAAAAGAGATTTATTTACTGTGTGCATGAAGCGATCACAGAGTGATTACCCAATATCCCAATGGGGGCCAGAAATTTATATACTTTCATTTTAGAGGCGAGGGAGAGATGAAGAACATAGGTAATTCTGTTTAGGGGCAATAAATGATTACTAGGGAGGATGAATAGGTATTTGGGAGAATGAATGGATGGGGGAAAACAGATTGACTTATAAAATGATTCCCTTCACAAATTAAGTTAACCTGAGAGAAATGTGTATATTTAAAACAATTTGGGCCAGGTCTGGTTGCATTCTTCTTTCCTCTAATATATTGAGATAGCAGGAAAGGGAATCTTGTTCTTTTTGATGGGTCTGGTTTTTCAATGAAGAAAGGGGGAAAGCCCCTTTCCAAGGCCTATTGATCTCTAAGGGTCTTTAATTCAAAATACTCTTTATATGAAGGAGTCATATTTCGGGGTGAAATTTCCTGAGCTCCTTCATTCGTCACAAAATTATAAATCTCTAAATTCACAGAGCTTTAAAAATGCATATATGCATATGGCAGTTTATTCAATTTTCTGAACCCAATTACCTTTATAAAATAACTCGGAATTCAGATTCATCATTATGCAACATTAGTCTATATAAATCCAAATAACCAAGTGGGAAACTTGCTAACTTGTTAACTATTGGAAACTTGCTAGAATACCAATAGCAGAAAGTATTTTTATCCTTAGACCTTTTGGATCTTTGCAAGTTTGCTATGACAACTGCCCCTTAAATAAGCAGATGATATGGTAGATGATATAAGAAGTCAGTAAGTTTTAAGTCAATACATTATAAATAAATTTCAGGCAATTTTTTCAAATCAAGGCTATTTGCTACAATACAATATGGTTTTTAAATTTTTCATTCAAACAAGCAGGCTGTTTTTTGAACCACCTGAATTTTAATCAAGTCAAGGCAGTTATTTAAAGCAATGTTATTGATTATATTTCTGATTTAAACAATTGAATTTGTGTCTTGATCTAATTTAAAAGCTGACTAATAATCCATTGAACGTACCAGATGTTTTCTCTAAGTTTATCCGGGAGAATGTCAGTGAAAATGGTAGAGCAAGGACCTCCAAAAATGCTCTTTTCCATAAAAGCAATAACAACACTGGCAAAAATTGTCCAAAACAACTTCTTCAGAATTCTGAAAGTTAACCAAAGGTTTGCTGCAATCCAAGAAGCATTTCTTCAAGAAAAATGGCTGACTTTCTGTAAGAATAGCAAGCTCTGTGGCTGTTTCAATTTATCCTCCTCCCTCCTCCTACTCCCTAGCCCAACAGCCTGAAAACCAACAGTAGCTTGAAAACCAACAGCCTGCAATCACAATGAAAATCAGTCTGGCGGCCACTGGAGGGAACAGAAAAGGGTTGGAACCATTTCAAAGGCCCACTCCCAGAAAACTGGCATTATTCACCTGTCTGGTGGTTCCCTGGAAGACTCCATTCACAAGGCTGTTTTTATTTGACCTGAGTTTACCCAGTACAAACAACCTTTTCCCTGGGGGCATGTATTGAAAATAGTAAGAGGCAATTACTTAACACCATGGCTGCCCAAGGTGGTAGAGGGCAGTTGGGGCAAACAACAGGTTAACCAGACAGCTAAAAGGAAAAGCTGGGGAGGACGATGTCCATGGGGAATCTGAAAAGCTCTCACTCATTTCTGGGAATCTAGAAGGCCATACACAAGGCTATGTGCATGCTCAAAAAAGATGTGAAAAGGCCCTAAACTCTCACCTTTCTGGCCGTCAGAGTGAGCATACGGAAGTGAAGGCAATATTGTTAACTGCCTGGGTGAGTGTTGAAGGCCCTGGAATATGCATACAAATACCCTAAACAAAGAAGCGGAACTTAATGACTGCAAGCATTTAAGGAAGTCTCAGTACAATTAGTTGCCCACCATTAAACTAACCAAGTAGAGACCTCAGTGGTCATATACAATAACAAAAAAAAAAAAAAAAAAAAACAACACCTTACTAGAATTAATTAAAAAGTAACTAAATAAAAAACCAACTACAACAAATAGCAACAAGAATAAACTCTGGGGAAGCAGGAAAACTCTGATTTACAGAGTTCTTACATTATTTAAATATCCAGTTTTCAACAAATTGTAAGGCATGTAATGAAATAACAAAGTATGATCTCCATACACAGTTAAAATAGCAGTTAATAGAAACTGTTCCCAAGGAACCCAAGAACTTTGACTTAATAGACAAAGAGTTTAAATCAGCTATTTTAAATATGTTCCAAGTTTACCCCCCAAAAATCTGACTTTGATTTATATTAAAGTACATCCTTAATGCAAACTTCAAAAGTGCCCAAACTGCAAAGTCTCATTCTATCACAACTATTGGTATCTTGATCCTCAAGCAGTTGTTACATATCATAAGTATATAGTTGTGATCTGTAGTCTTCTAGTCCATGTCCTTTTAAAAGATATTTTTATCTAATGCTGATTGTAGAGAGTTCCTTGCCTAGAAAAACAAAAGAGAACTCACTTATCTAGACCCTGCAATTGTGGTCTTCATTCCCTGACGCTAGTCTCATTTAAGTGTTATGAAGTGGCTGTGATAAGGGGTGGTTGTCAGACACATTTGAAGCTGGCAAAGCAACAGTGACAAAAGCACAAGCAATCATTAGAACAGTCTAAACTGTTAACCTCTGTTAATCAATGTAATCCAGAGCTGGTGTATAGAGAGCGCTCTAGAGCACGTGCTTTCTCTCTCCCTCTCCACATACACATACACACACACACACACACACACACACACACACAAGGAAAAGAAAGTTCAAGAATACTTATTATATTTCATAGGTAAAAGGAAAAGTCAGTTTAGAAAGTAGTCTTGTACAAATGTTGATAAAAAGCTAAATTTGGCATCACATACAAAGTCACTGAAGGTAAAGGATGATTATGGAAACTACTTCCGCTCATACCTCATGCAATGGAAGTCTGCTGCATAATCACTGTGGTTGAAAGCTGAGGTTTCCTTATATATTGCCTATGGAACTATTTCCCTGTGTTTAGGATTCCTATTCAAGACAGTAATCTACACAAGTTAACAATACAATATTCTGTTTGTTAAGATACAGTCATATCTGTATTATTCTTATGCCTTTGTCATTCAGCCACAAAGAAGAGAACAAAGTGAAGTTCTCTCTGAAGAGAATGTTTTATGCTATGCACATGTTGCTTCCTTTGCTGGTAGTGTAATTCTTGTCTAAAAAATTTCTTGTGTTCCTACAAGTTTGTATAAATCTCAGTACTTCCTTTATAAAGGCTTCTTTATTAATTACCCTCCTTGGGTAGTTTTGAAGCACAAAATGCTCCCCCATTAAGCTGGAATCACCTTGAAATCACAAACACATAAAATTCATGTTAATCTCCCCTCCTCCAATTTCTTTAGCAGTGTAGACTGAAATAAATGGAATAAAAAATGCTACAGGAATAGAGGAAAGACCCTCAGTTTGCCCAGGATTCAGTGAAAGCTTCCCTGGAGAGGTTGTTTATTGAACTGAACCAAATCATGATTATTAAGGATGGCAAAGTTTCTTGGTATCATTAAGTAAAACACACACAGCAGCTAGGCTTAATAAAATTTTGGCCTAGCCCAGAACAGAGACAGATAGCAAATAGGTTTCACCTAAAATGCTAATTTCAATGAATTAGTCATAGCTGCCTATATAATTTTCTTGGAAGAGTAAGCTTTTAATGTGAGAGAGTGCTATGATTTATTAACAATGTCTGCCAATAGAAAGGGAGAATGGTGGGATGTGTGCCACACATTTGCTATTCCAAGTTGGAATAACTCCTAAGGTCCCTCTGGATACAATGACTATGTGCCAAACTGTAGGAGTTTCAGCTTCATTTTTGATTAGGCAATCAGTAAAATAAATGTTAGGGAAAATATCATATAAGTTTCACCTGCTGGTAGAATTATGGAAGCAAACACATTAGAAGATTGAAAAACAGAGAACAAAGGCTAGATAGTATTCAGAATTATAAATAAACTTTTAAAAAATGATTAACAATGAACTGTCTTTTTAAATACTGCCAAGTCTGAAACTCATAATGATTTATTGATCCGAAGAAACAGTCTATAATGTTGCAGTGGCAGACTTTACTTTCTACAAACCAATCTTCTTATAACAAGTATCATTACAATGAAATTTCCTCTAACACCTATCCAGTGTGCCACATACTTAAAGCAATGTTTAAAAATAACAGAATTCCACTATTAGACTTCAGATACTTTGGAATCTCTGCAATAAGATATTACCAACAATTGTTTTTATTTATACTAATATAAAAATAGAGTAACATTCAAGAAATAGGGGCATCTCATGTGGCAAGTCAAATGTTTTACATTTAGTTAAATATATGTAAATTAAATGATTTTAACTGAAGAAACTTGGGTAGAATTTTTCATTATCAAAACAATGCTTGAATAATTACAGATGCTCCTTGACTTATGATGGGGTTATGTCCTGATAAACCCATTGTAAGTTGAAGATATCATAAGTAAAAAATGCATTTAATACAGGAACACCTAACCTACCAAACATAACTTAGCCTAGCCTACCTTAAACATGCTCAGAATACTTACACTAGCCTACAAATGAACACAAAGTCTACATTATAAGGGTCAAATATATCATGTAATTTATTAATGTTCTACTGAATGCGTATTGCTTTTGTACCATCATAAAGTCAAAAAAATCCTATGTCAGGGACCGCCTGTATTTCCATGGGAATGGAAAATAAACACCATGGATGGATTCAAACTGTAAAATCAGTCAGTCACGGTGATAATGAAAAATGTTTATAGCCCTGGTAAAATACAGGGGCATGTGAAATTTAAATTATTCTCTTTATCTTTCACTTTGTCATTATTTTCCTTGTCATAATTTGATAAAATACAAATAAAACTGAAATCTCATTAATCATCCTACTGATATTTTAGATGGTTTTAATAATATATCTCAAAAAGTTTTGAAAACTTCTAATTTAGAAATCATGATAGTATGTTCATTATATTCACATTCAGAAACTCTAGTGATTAAAAATAATTCACAAAAGATCTGAAATCTGAAGATGAAAAGTAAAGTACAAACCTGCATCTCCCCTTTCTCATCAGGTTTAGCTGGTTTTGCAGCCTCAGTAGCTGAATTTTTCAAGCTCTCTTTGCTACAGCGCAGAAGTACTTCTACTACATATAATGGATCCAGCTCACCAGAATTAGGCTTAAAAAAAAAAAAAACAGGATAAAAGTTCATTAACTCATAAAAACTGGACCACGAATTTTAAGTTCCATGTGTACAGGGACTATTTTATCAGCACTTAGCATTATGACTAGCACATACTGAGCAGCAAATGTTGATTTTATGAAATGAAGGCTGTCTCCTTGCATTCTTCACCATGTTCCACTGGATGAGAAAACACAGAAATAACTTGATATTTATAAATTTTAATTTAGTATGTAAAGGAAAAAAAAATCTCAGGACTCCCAAACTCCTTATGCCAAAGGGAAAGTTAGGCCAGGAGGTTGAGTGACGCAACACCCTCTTCCAAATGAATAGCTGTTACTTCACAACTTTGTGTCAAAGCATTATACATCAGCCAGACCCTCTAAGCAAAGACAAAAGGCCTCGGGCATCTCCATATGACTGTTCCCACAAATAATCCCAAAGTAAATTCTTTGCTGACATCTAAACCTTGCACAACATGTATCCTCCCATAAACAAGAACATACCAATTGTAACTAGATCTACAATCTAAGTCTAGCTCCTAAATCTAAAGTCTGTTACTTTCCACACTGATAATGTGATTCAACACCCATAATGTAGATTATAAATTTATCTTCCCTGGTGCAGAACAATATGAGATCAATCATTCCTCCACCTACCCAGAGGCATTTGCAAAACCAATTCTTCCTTTATTCCTTTTTTCCTTCCAACTGTTCACCTTATATTATAAAAAAAAGTACCTATACTGGGCACTAACTAAAGTCTCATAAAAATGTAACCACTTTACCGCCTCTCTTCCTACATGACTTTCCCCTTTTAAGGAAATGCATGAATACTAAACCTCCCGAAAATCTCTTTGGAAAAAACAGCCACTGTGCCTCTGTGACTCGCATTTTTTCTGGGATGTGCCCCCAAGCTCAGGTTTAGTAAACTTCGATTGATTAAGACTCTTGCCTCAGACATTCCATTCTAGTAGTATGATCACTGTCAACCACGACACAGAATGCCACTTCAAAGTTTCTAATAATTAGTTTATAATTTTATTTAATATTATTCCAGAATTAGAAAAAGAAAAAAAAAAATCAGTGTCAGAAAATTAATTTGTATCTTCAAATCACCCTAATTAAACAATATAAAAAACAGATAGATTATTTTATTGCTTATTATACAGGCATTTCTATAAGATGATTCCATATCATTTTTTTAAGTCTTTCAGTCTTTCATATTCTCTAGCAAAACTATGATTCTCAAGATCTAAGGACTAACCACATTATCTGCACTATGATAATCTGAGTAGTGTCTTTCAAACAGTTTTAGTAAAGAATTCCTCCATATTTTTACATAAAATAGATAAAAGGAAACTTTCTTTGATCGAAGGGGAAACATTGCAAAGACCAGATTGCTTGGCCTCCACCCAGGACAGTGCCTATTAAAAGATGAAACTTTGTCAGTAAATGATAACCAAACCCCTATCTAAAATCTATTCTGCAATAAACTACCAATTATTTAACAAGAATAAAACATACTTACAAATACAAACTAAGAACTCAATCATAGTTATTTTAAATCATTAAGTTCAAATTTCCTCAAAGAGAGCCTAAGATCCATTTTTCCAATCCAAAAGGAAAACTGGCTTTCTCTCAGCGTACATTGTTCGAAACATGGTTATTTTAAAAGAAGTTTCAAAACATTCCTCAGTTTAGTTTAAACACAAAGACAGATAGTATTTTTGACTAGATGATCTCTATCTGCAAATATTATATATATATATAACTTATTATGAAATGAGTTTTATAAACAATGAGCTAAACAAATAGTTATGACCCACTGTCAACTCTTCCTAAGGAGCCAATGATTACAAGAAGATTCAGTGGTTGTCACAGCTTTTCAGAGGGGGGGGTTAAAACTCTGAATAAGATACATTCTACAATTTGATGAATGAATTAACTCCAAAGTGTTAGGGAACATATGAGTACCTGGACAGAAATAATCTAAAGCTGCAGTCCCCAACCCAATCAGCAGTGGCACTGGATTCTCATAGGAGCATGAACCCTACTGTGGACTGTGCATGTGAGGGATCTAGGTTGCACACTCCTTGTGAGAGTCTGGTGCCTGATGGTGGAGCTGGCACTGGCTGCAAATGCAGATTGTCACTAGCAGAGAGGTTTGACTGCACAATAAATGTGGTGCACTTTGGTCATTCTGGGACCATCCCCCTTGCCCCCCTCAGCCAATCCATGGAAGGACCGTCTTCTAGGAAGCTGGTCCGTGATGGCAAAAAGGTTGGGGACTGCTGCTCAAGGTTGGGGACCGCTGATCTAAAGTTCATGCAATCTTGAATGTATCTAGATAATCTAGAACTTTGTTGTTGGGTTTGGTTCCAATTATTATCGATTTTATTTATAAATTTAATATCCATCTGCAAGATACAAGCATAGAAATGACTATTAGAACTTAAAGTTGTCATAATCATTTGTCTTTATAGAGCTACCAAAACCACATATAACAACATTATGGAAATAGTCTCAAGTGTTACTACGGAAATACATTGGAAAGCATTCTTAATTGTAGCATTCAATAGAAAACTGCTGTTAAAAATATTTCCTAGGACGATAAAATTTTTTATCTAATTTAGTCTAGTTCTGAACTGGGTAAAGATGGATCAGTAACATCACCTTTCACATAAGAAAAAAATAGCTATTTAGCTTTCCAGTGATTTGTCTTACCTTAAATTCTTTAGAATTTGTTAATATGTCCTCATTCTTTTTTTGAGGCAGCGCCTTGCCTTGTCGCCCCAGTTATAGTGCACTAGTGTCATCACAGCTCACTGCGACCTCAAACTCCTGGGCTCAAGCGATCCTCCTGCCTCAGCCTCCCAAGTAGCTGGGACTACAGGTGTGCAACACTGCACCTCGCTAATTTTTTCTATTTTTAGTAGAGACGGGGTCTTGCTGTTGCTCAGGCTGTTCTCAAACTCCTGACCTCAAGCAATCCTCCTGCCTCGGCCTCCCAAAGTGCTAGGATTACAGGCGTGAGCCACTGCACTGAGCACTAATTTTCACTTCTTAATTATATAATTGAACTTTCTTTTTCCTAACATCTTTTGACTTGTTTTAAAATGTGGCTAATTTCTTGCTATAAATTGAAATTACCAAATTAAAACAAAATTTTCATAATCCTAAACTTGTGGAATGAAAGGAAACAAACAATATAAAGCAAATACAATTATGTTTTTTAAAATTTCTTTAGAGTGCCTCAAACTATTTTCTTCCTCAGTGTGTATTCTCCATCTACTTCTGGCAAACTCTATTGGCCATAAAAATCTTTGGATTAGTATTCTGATCCAGATTCCAAAATTAATAAAAATGTACTTCACATTTTTAATGAACAAATACAAGTAGCTCAATGGAAAAATTAGTTTCACTATCAATTTAAACAGAAAAAAAAAGAATGTGTTCTTCTCTAGGCCTCATTCCATCTTTGCCTGAAAGAATTCTCATCAACTGGTACTACTTTTATACATGGATTAAGGATCCAAAAAGGCAAATAATTTTTTAAAAATATCTTCTGTGTGTAGGTACATAAATGTAGTTATGACAGCTATAATTTTTCTCTGCTAAAAATGTAAAATCTTAGATAAACTATTGGAGCATGGCGGTATAAGGAGTTCTGTAAACTTAGCACCCAGCAAAACCGAAGAAAATTATGAAAAACCAACCATTTAAAGTTTCTGGAAATGGTCCTAAGGGAATATATCACATGAAGAAACACCTACTCAAAAAATTTACTAAAATTCTGTGAGAACAGCAAGAGTCTGTGGTGTATCAGCCAATACTGCTCCCTCCTTCACTTCTCCTAGCTCACTGAAACAGAAACTCCAGACTGGTAAAGCCAAAAATACAGAGGGCTGTTTCCAGCAGCTCTCAGTTGGAGGGCTAGCTTTCCAGATGGGGGCGAATGTCAGCATTCTCATCCTGCTCCCACCTACCTGTGGCTGAGGCTAAATTCTCAGCAAGTGAGGCTGAGAGGTAGGGGCTCCCTTTTACCACCCAGCCCCTACAGGTTGGCAGAGGCTCTACCTTGGATGTGGCGCTGCTCAGAATAAGGGCTCCAACAGGTCTTTCCCTGGCTTAAAAGCCACTGGTTCCATGCTGGAAAAGGCAAGCTGAACAGACCTGAGGTTACCACCCTTACCACTTCCATCTTCCACATAGCCCTCAGTTCCTAAAGAAGGGGTGTCAGTCAGAGAACAGTGTGCTACCATCCCTACCCCCAGCTTTAGAACTCTGAGATTTTTGCCTGGGGTGAGAAGTAGGCCTTAAAATGGAGAGCTCTTAATATCCTCTCAAAAGAATTGATTTCATCTGCAACTAAACCTGTTGCAGTTTGAGAGTTCAAACCTGAGGAACTCTCAAAAGCAGTGGAGGTTATGGTGAAATACAATTGGTAGATTTGTGTTCACTGGAGATAAAGGCCAAATTGTTGTCTCCTGTACAAACCAGGAGAGAACCTGGTTTTTACAAAGATAAGAGGAGCCCTCCTGCTAGTAGAGCATAACAGCTGGGTATACCCAGGGAAATATACAGTCAAAAAGACCCCTGCCAAAACCACTGTCATCCCAGGGGGACTGTGGGCATAGCCAAGGTTGTGCCTCCTCCTACTCCCACCCCAGGAGCAATAGAAAAGTCTGAACACTGGGGGGTGGGAAGGAGAATGAGGCAGAACAGATTTCACTCAAATAATCTAGCTAGTCACTAAATAAGTACACAGGCAAATAACAACTGTAGTCTGGCAAAAGCAGGGGGGATTCCAGAGTTACAACAATATATTACTTAAAAAGTCCAATTTCCAATTTTAAAAAGAGGCATGCAAAGAAACAGGAAAGTACAATCATGACCCACATACCAGAAAAAAAGCCGGCAACAGAAACTGCCTTTAATAAGAATGACCAGATGTTGGATTAAATAGACTTAAAAGTAGCCATTATAAATATGTTCAAAGAACTAAAGAAAATCATAATTAAAGAAGTAAAAGAAGGTACAATAACAACATCAAACAAAATATCGATAAAGAGAAAAATTATAAAGAAGAATCAAAAGGAAATTTTGAGTTCAAAAGTACATTAACTAAAATGAAAAAAACCACTAGAGGGGCCCAATAGTAGATCTGAACTGGCAGATAAAAGTATTAGCAAATTTGAAGATAGACTGATAGAGATTAGGCAATCCAAAGAACTGAGAAAGAATGAAGAAAAAAATGAACCACGGCTCAGACAAATATGGGACATTAATAACCATAACATATCCATAATGAGAATTCCAGAAGGAGTGGAGAAAAAGGAATGGAAAAATATTTGCAGAAATAATGGCTGAAAATGTCCCCAAATTTTCTAAAAACAAATTAATCTACACATCCAGAAAACTCAATGAACTCCAACTCGGATAAATGCAAAGAAGTTCACAGACACTTTTATCTTCGTAAAAATGCAGAAATCCACACCACAAGGAAAAAAATCTTGATAGCAGCAAGAGAAAAAAAAGACTCATCTCTTACAGGGGAACTCCAAAAAGATTAACAGCAGAAACAATGGAGGGCAGAAAGCATGGGTTGGGCATCAAAGGGAATTTGTTGCTAGCAGACAAGCCTTAGAAGAATTAACTATGAAAGGAAGTTCTTTGGGCTAAAAGCAAGTGACATTAGACGTTTACTTCAATACACACACATAAAAAAGAACATTGGTAAAGGTAATTATAACATATAATTACAAAAGATAGAAATAAATGAGTATTTTTCTCTTAAATGATTTAAAAAGCAATTATATAAAATATGTATATTGTATTGTTGAACCTGTAAAATATCAAAATTTAATGTATTTGGCAATATAACAGCACAAAGGAGGCAGCTGGGAGCAAGGCTGTACTGGGCTAAAGCAATAACTCTGGATGATAAATCAAATACACAGGTACAAACGATGATAACCAGAAATGATAAATAAGGTTAACGTAACAAAAGCTGTAAATATATACTTGCTCTCCTTTCCTCGCTAAGCTTCTTTAAAAATCATAAAATTATATAAAGTAATAATTATAACAATGTCTTGGGTTTATAATATTTATAGTGTAATATGTATAATAATAATACCATAAAAAGAGGGAAAATGGAATAGAGATATACAATAATAACATCTCTATATCTTACTGGAATTAAGTCACCATAAATCCAAAGCTTATTCTAATAATTTAATATGTATATGGAAAGCCTTAGCAAACACTAAGAAAATAACAAAAAATACATATAGTGAAAAAAATCATTAAAGAAATTAAAATGTGGGGCGGGGGCCCAGGGGCAGCATACGTAACATAAACATCTGTACCCCCATAATATGCTGAAATAAAAAAAAAGAAAAAAAAGATATTAAAATGTCACATTTGCTAAATGCAAAAGCAAGCAATAAAGGAAGAATAGAAAAACAACAAAAGATGTGAGACATAGAAAACAAAAATTAAAATAGTAGACACAAATCCAACTACATCAATAACAAAGTTAAATGTGAATGGATTAAGCAACCTAAAAAAGGCAGAGATTTTCAGATTGGATGAAAAAAAAAAAGAAAAACAAGATCTAAGCCAGGTGTGGTGGTGTAGGCTTGTAATCCCACCTATTGCGAAGGCTGAGATATAAGGATCCCTCCAGGAACTGGAGGCTACAGTGAGCTATGATCACACCAGTGCACTTTAGTATGGGTAACAGAGTGAGACCCTATCTCAAAAAATAAATAAATTAAATTAAATTAAAAAATAAAAACCAAGATCCAACTACTGTATATGCTGTGTACAGGGAAGACATTTTAAATTTACTGATACAAAAAAAATAAAAAAGGTAGGAAAAGATATATCATGAAAAGAACAATCAATAAAAAGCTCAAGTGGTTATATTAACATCAGATAAAATACTCTTTAACAGAGCACAAAAACACAAAAAGCAAAAACTGACAGAAATAAAGGGAAAAACAAACAATACAACAATTTAGTTAAGAGACTTCACTACTCTACTTTCAATAATGGATAGAACAACCAGACAGAAGGATCTGCAAGAAAAGAAACAGATGACTTGAACAACACTCTAAACCAACCAGACCTAAGACACCTTCAGAACATCCCACCCCAAAACAGCAGAATGTACATTCTTCTCAACTGTACATGGAACATTCTGTAGGATAAAACCGTATGTCAGGCCATTAAACAAACATAGATCAATTCAAAATGACTGAAATAATTTTGTTTCTGATAAAAATAAAATGAAATTAGAAATACAAAACAGGGCCGGGCGCGGTGGCTCACGCCTGTAATCCTAGCACTCTGGGAGGCCGAGGCGGGCGGATTGTTTGAGCTCAGGAGTTCGAGACCAGCCTGAGCAAAAGTGAGACCCCGTCTCTACTAAAAATAGAAAGAAATTAATTAGACAACTAAAAATATATAGAAAAAATTAGCCGGGCATGGTGGCGCATGCCTGTAGTCCCAGCTACTTGGGAGGCTGAGGCAGGAGGATCGCTTGAGCCCAGGAGTGTGAGGTTGCTGTGAGCTACGCTGACACCACGGCACTCACTCTAGCCCGGGCAAAAGAGTGAGACTCTGTCTCAAAAAAAAACCAAAAAACAAAAAACTAAACCTAAAGCTAGAAGAAGGAAGGAAATAAAAAAAAAAAGATGAGGCAGGAATTAATGAAGTAGAGGTAAAAAAAGAAAAAAAAGAGAAGAAAAAAAAAAATCAGTGAAACCAAAAGCTGATTGAGAAGATCAATAAAACTGACAAACCTCTACTAGATGAAAGGTTTAAACTATTATAATCAAAAAAAAAGAGGGGACATTACTAATGACCTTACAGAAATAAAAAGGATTATAAAGCAATACTATTAATAACTGTGTATCAATAAATTAGATAACTGAGATGAAAAGGGCTAATTGCTAAAAAGACACTTATTACTAAAACTGACTCAAGAAAGAGATAATCCAAATGGGTATACCAAGTAAAGAGACTGACTCAGTAATCAAAAAAACTGCCCACAAAAAAGAGCCTAAGCCTAAGAGGCCTCACTGCCAAATTCAACCAAATATTTAAAGATTTAACACCAGTTCTTCAAAAACTCTTCCAAAAAACAGAAAAAGAGGGAACACCTCCTAACTCATCTTATGAGGTCAGCATTACCCTAACACCAAACCCAAAGATGTCACAAGAAAACCACATACCAGTATTTCCTATGAATGTGAATACAAAAAATCCTGAACAACGTATCACCAAACTGAATCCAGCAACATATAAAAAATAATACATCACAACACAGTGGGATTTACCTCAGGAACCCAAAGTTGGTTTAACATCTGAAAATCAATTACTGTTATTAGGAAAATAATCACACTACTTTAAGGACAAAATTTAAGATTATTCCAAAAATTAATTCCTTACAGCAGAATTTATTACTGCTTCTCAAGGTAATACTTTTCTACTTAGACCAATTTCATGAGTCTGAAAAGACATTTCACTAGAAATTTATATACAATTCTAATTTAAGGACAACGGTTTACCTTAACATTTGACTTTTTTGAGAAATTCACCACTACTCCCCAGCCAAAGTCATCTCCTTCATTCTTTACCTGAAAAGAAAATAAAGCAAATAAACAATAATGTTTTTATCTAAAAGGTAATTTTAGCTTTCTACATTCACATTAAAAGCTAATAAAACTTTTTGAATTTACTGATAAATATTTTTTGAAACATCACTGCTAAATTTAAGGAACAAGATATTAACCTTAAAGAAAAAAGTCAATGCCAAATTTCACAGCCCCCTAGAACAGCAGCAACAGGAATCTCTCAATTGGCAAACAAATGCTAAAAATGACATAGTGCGTGTGTTCTAAGAATATTTTAAGTCTTTCATATCTAATGAATTCATCCAGAATGTAAAACTATCTTTTTTAAAACACGGTATTTCATAATTGAAAGTATAAGTTAATTCCAGAACTATCTACTTCAACTTAAATTCCCCAAAATGAAAATCAGGGGTGATTAAAAGGTCTTCATGTGAGCTCCTAAATCAGTGCCATGTAAAACAGGTAAAATAATATAATTAATATAGGTCAACTATTATAGCAGAAAGCATTTTACCGAGATAAGAAAAATTGGAATCTTTATCCAAAATACTTTTAAATTTTGAAATATTCAACTATTTTTATGAAGAAACAATGACATACCTTTACCAAACGACCTGGTTGCAGAAATGGTAAGCAATATTTTGGTTTGTGAATATATTCTTCAATTTCTTTACCCAGTTTGGCAAGCTGCTGTCTAATCTTATAATAGATGACTACACTTTCTTCATTGGGAATTACTATTTTATTATACTGTTCTTCTGAGTTCTTTACCTCTGTAAATAAAACACATGTATAAAATCAAAAAAGTATAGACCTTACATAAATTATATCCAAGAAATATTGTTTTTCCTACTACAGTTGTAGAGAACAAAGTCAGATTATAACAGAAGTTTTGAGGAAAGGATTCCTAAGAGATGACTATAAGGTGTATTCTCTAGTTTCCCCCTCTCTCCATTAAGATTCACCTTTTGTTTCTTCCTATAGTTCTCCAACTCATTCAGTGTAAACACTCGAAATGAATTTGAATTGGCAGCAGTTACTTATAGTTAGTTAATTCTATCCCTATGGATTGGAGGGGAGAGGGCAGTATTTCTGGAAATTCTAGACATACAATGTACAATACAGCACAGTAATATGCCCAGGAGTGGAACTGCTGGGTCATATGGCAATTCCATATTTAATTTGTTGAGAAACTGCCAAACTATATTCCACAGTCTATGTGCCATTTTGATACTATTCTTTCTTTAAAAATATCCATCCTAGTGAGTGTGGAGGGCTATCTCAATTTGGTTTTGATTTACATTTCCCTTATGACTAATGATGTACATATATTCTCAAAGGTTTCAGTTAAAAAAATTAATAACTTTGCTTGTGGAAATGTAGTAAAGGTAAGTCTTAAAACCAGCTAGTTCAAAGTTTTTTGGGTCATCTTTGATTTTTTCCAGTTAGAGAAATTACTATATATATTCTTATCACTTTATTAAAAAGGGATGACCCATGCTTTAATAAAAACTGCACTGTTTGGTAGCAGAAGTCCAAGATTCCAAATTTCAATTCTGCCATCCATCAAATGTGTTAGCAGTAAGATATAAACTTAATGTCTCTAGATACCTCCCTTTTTTAAAAAAATCTGCAAAATGATGCCAAAACTCCTTCTGGCTCTATGGTTTGTAAAGAAGGAACTTTTCTTAACTATGACCTGAGGTATTAAGGAAAGAGGAAATACGACCTCTCATCCAGACAAGGGTTACAAAAAGAGAATTTAACTCACTTGGATCTTCCAAATCTTTTTTATTCCTCTAAGGCACCTTATTATACTTCATTTAATTTTGGCAACATAAGAAATGAGTGGAATTGTCCTACATACTTGTGACAGAAAGGAATCTCAAATTTGCCTTTACTGTTATTAAATCATGGTACATTTATAAAACAGAAATACTAGTCAGTCATTAAAAATCATACATTCAAAGGATACTTGAAATTAAATTTTAAAAAGCCAGAATCAATGAGCTGGTAAATGTAAACCATTTAATGCAAGGCTAGACATAGCGTAAATACTTAACAAATAATACCAATTATAAATTTCATCATTACTGGTGTAGGTATCATTATTACAAAAACTCTACATCTGACTTTGCCTTAAAAAAAAAAAAGCATATGTATGAGAAAAAAAAAAGACAAAAACTTCAAAGTGTTAATGGTGGTTGTACAGCTATTTCTGTGTGAGATTACAAAGGATTTCAACTTTCCTCTGTATCTTTTGCTGCATTTTTTTTTATAATGACTATGTATTACTTGTATAAGATTTATCCAAACCAGTAATTTAAGTCCTTGCCTCTGTTTTAGCTTTTAATCAGCTCTTATGATGATCAGCCACAACGCTCTCTAAAATAAGTATCGAAGCCCAATTCTACTACTTGAATATAGAACACTTACTTTTTGGACTGTAGTAAGCATTATCTTAATATTAGGAACTGAATATCGCAAAAAAATCTGAACTCAAATGCAAGTTAAAGCATTATATTTCCTTAATCATTCATAAGCTTATGCTATGACACTCTATTATAATGAGAATGAAGAAAGGATAACATAAGACTAATATACACATGCTTCTTATAGGTCAAATTTGAATATGCTGGGCTTTTTGTTATATCATTATTCAGGGACATGAATTATCATATGATATATATATCTAAAAGAAGAAATTATACTAAGTTTGAGCCAACTATAGAAAACGGTCCTGCCAGACTTTTCTTACCTTCACTTTGAAATGTTCTAGTCAGTTACAATGACCGGAGTGCAATTGTGCAGTCCTTTCGGTAAGGACCAAAATTTGGATTACTATAAAAAAAAAACAAACGATGGCCAAAGCAGCCAATAATGCAGTCATTTTGCTGTTTAGTCTTTCAGCTAAACGAAGTTTTATCACGGTGATTTTATACTTACTCTCTACAACTCCTGGAATTGCTCTATAATGCTGAAACTGGTAGAAGGATTTTTCCAACATGTACTCAGGATTAATTTCTTCTACACGCAGTAAGTTCAAAACCATATTATAGGTCAAATGGAAAGCACTATTTAGAGGATCAGCTGAGCCCTAAAAGAGGGGGGGGGAAGTCAATTTTATAGGTTTTTCAAATAAATTTACACAAATATTTTTAACCTGCTATAATGCTTAATAATTTAGTCTATGTTAAGAAATAATATAGAAATGTGTTAGTTCTTTCTTTTAGCTGACCAATACAAATGACAAAACAGTTGATCTTTGGGAAAGTGAAGGGAAAAAAGATCACTAGGACAGTAAGTATTTAAAACACTGTTTACCAAATATGTTTAGCCCTCTTGTCTTCCAAGCACATGACACAGGATTGCTCTTTCTGACCCCTAAGTGAGTGAGACCAGTAAGTTGTGAAGGAAAGTGATGTGCCACTTCCTAGCCAAGTATTTAATTGCTGCTGTGAAAAGCTATCTTTTTCCCTTCTGGCACAGCGACTGACAACGTTCAAGATGGTGGTGTCTCCATCAAATTGGACCCCTAAACAGTAATGATGAACAGAACCTCCTCTATCAACCTACAACTTCTCTATCAACCTACAATGAACACACAGCAGGTGAGAGAAATAACCTTTAAGTTACTGAGATTTAGGTTTGTTATTGTAGCATGACCTATACTGTACTGACAGAGTACACTAAATTTAGTTCAGAATGATACTCCAATAAAAATGAGTATCTTAAAACTCTCAGCTTCCTGGGAGGACATAAAACTGCTACTGTATTGCCCCCAAATTTACAGAACATTCTTTATCTACACTTTAATGATTTCTTTTTTTAAAAAATTTAATTTTTATTTATTATGGGCACATAAGTTGTGTATCTTCAGAGGGTATATGTGATGTTTTGATACAGACATACAATGTGAATTAATCAAATGAGGGTAATTGGGGTATCCATTAACTCCAGCATTTATCATTTCTTTGTCTTAGGTACATTCCAATTCCACTCTTTTAGTTATTTTAAAAGTATACCCTAACTTATTGTTGATTAGAGTCACTTTGTTGTGCTATTGAATATTGTTCATTCTATCTAACTATATTTTTGCACCCATTAACTATCCCTCCTTTAGCGCCCCGCCCCCCCCACTCCCCACTGCCCTCCTCAGCCTCTGGTAACCATCAATCTACTCTCTGTCTTCATGAGATCAATTGTTTTTAATATTTAGCTCCCACTAAGAGATTTATCTTTCTGTGCTTGGTTTATTTCACTTAACATAATGTTCTCCAGTTCCATCATGTTGTTTCAAATGGCAGGATTTCACTCTTCTTGTGGCTATATAATATTCTATAGTGTAAATGTACCACAATTTCTTTATCCATTCATCTGTTGATAGACACTTAGGTTGACTCCATATCTTGGCTACTGTGAATAGTGCTGCAATGAACATGGGGGAGTGCAGATACTTTTTCAATATACTGAATTCCCATACACTTTAATGATTTCTTTTTGTCCTCCTAACTGTAGCTGTTTACCAAAGGGCTTGGTTAATGATTGGACAATATAAACTATTTTATTATAAGATACAATAAATTCTATTGTAGCATTTTACTGTAGAATAATGTGAAGTAAATTGATAACATGGTTTATATCCAAAATACTTCCCCAACATCTAAACTTTTCTCTCAGCAATGTTTTTTCAGACGTATTTTTTTAATGAAAATAATTCATAAGTATGAAAATGGTTATGTGTAATAGTTACATAGAATGAACAAATTCTTGGAAGATGCATACAGAAATATTTATAAGTATCACTATATATGCCACATATTTCTTAACGGCATAGCAAAATACACAAATACTGTTAGAGTACTCAGGGGCTCTTAAATTGAGGTCCACAGGCCAATATTATAGAATCCAGAATTTTAAATATATGCAGACAGGATTTTATGAAGAGAAAGGGGAGAGCTTTCACCTGAGTCTCAAAAGAGGGTATTCCTTAGCTCTCAAAAAGTCAAGAGCTACCCATGCTAGGGGGATCATTAGTAAGTCCCTAAAACCTGATTTTTATTCACTTTCCTTAAAAATAGGGCCAAGAGGAGTGGTAAAGCAAGCATGAAAACAGGATTCTTAGACAAGAGAGGAATTAAAGACAACTTCAGCTACTTTATAATTTTGCAAACAGACTGTTTACAGACTTTCCTGCCATTTTTCTCTTCTATTATTACCACCACTAAGAAATCTGGGGCTTCAATATAGCTAATATTTATTTCCAACCCAAGCTCTGCTTCTATAGGCCCACTATACTACAAACACCCATGTGAATTCTCAGACACTTGAAACTCAACGTGGCATTTTGACATTGTATCCAAGTAAGTCCGGGATAGCGCCAACTTAAACCTGTTGTACTGGTTTAAATATTAATAGGACCCTCTTTCACCATTATAATATTCGAATTTGGATGATATTAATGGTTCATCAGTTACTCATTTAAGTTCCAATTTAGGTGTTCATTGTTTCTTTCTTCTGCTTTATCCCTTCCTTTTAATCAATTACTGCAAATCATTTCCTCAATATATCTTAGATTAGTTCTTTTATTTACCACTGCCACCACTCTGAAAGGTTCATCAAATCATACCCATATTACAATCACCATGCTAACTGTTCTGACTTCAACTTTCCTTCCAATTTGACATGCTGCCAAACGAATCTTCCTAAATATGATTTCAGCGTGATATATTACCCTATTCACCAATAAACATATGACTACTGAAAGTCCCTGTAGAGGTACTGAAATAAGTTTAGTAGTTTACACCAAATCTTACTTTATTTTTTCCTAATGAAACAGAATAGAAAATAACATAATACATCATAGTAGAAGTGTGTTGTTTTAGGAAAACTTTTATTTCACAAACATACACACAGAGAAGTAAAGTATACTGGACTCGTATGACGTAAACTATACTGTTAGCTAAGGATCAGAGTAAAAAAAGTTTGAAAAATACTAAGGCTCAGAACTGAACACCCAATTTAGCAATCAAGGTTATAAAATCCTCTTTCTCATTTGTAAGTATCCACACAAGTCCTTTGTTTTAGCAAAACTAAGGACTCCAAATACATGTTAAATCTTGATGCTAAAGCCCTTTCTGTTTTCCATGTATTCTTTTTAGCTCAGAAAATCAAAACACAACCTCCACCTCCCAACACACACAGACTGACTCCATCCATTTTGGGCTTACCTCCAGCTACATTTTCTACATAAAAGCTTAAACCAAAATCATCTCAAATTTCCCTGAACTGGAATTATCAGAATTTATATTCTAGCACGGAGCCATATAATACTTCCTGCTCACTTTCTGTCCTATGTACACATGTAAACAGATTCTTCAAGTTCAAAAATGGTCACCATTTACTGAGGACTCAGCATATGCCAATCACTATAGTAAGTACCTTAATACTAAATCTTTAACACGCAACATTTATAGCAAGATGGATTTTATTGTCTCTAATTTAAACAAGAAACAGAGGCTTAGAGAGGTGCAGGGACTTGCTGAGGCTAAAAAGGTAGGAGCTGTATGATTTGCCATTGCACTCCATACTGGGCGACAGACTGAGATTGTCCCTAAAACAATTAATTAATTAAAGGCAGGAGAAAAAACCTAGGACTGTCTGAGCCTAAAGTCCTCCCAAAAGGCAAGTCATATTACAACTTATTTTATATCCCTCTCAATTGGATGTACCACTAATATTACTAAAAATATAGGGATTCTCAAATGTTGAGAATATTTTTCAATTCATCATGCATTTAATTGCTCAGCCAGCTTAAGAGTCTCAAACAATCTCTCAACAGGCAGCTTAATAAAGGAGTCACATAAAATTTGACTGGAACAAGACAAGCAACTAATGATAAGATTTAATGCAAACTTTGAAAGACTCTAGGCAAACTTTAGTAGCCAATTTGCTCACTGAAAAGACATTAAGATTGAGAGAGGGCCGGGCGCCGTGGCTCACGCCTGTAATCCTAGCACTCTGGGAGGCCGAGGCGGGCGG